TCAGGGTTAGCGTTTAGGGTTTAGGGAGTTTCGGCTCCAGTAGCCAAGGATCCCTCAAGGTGAAGGGAACCCTTAAACGAGCCATGTGAATGGTGTGTTGGGTCTCTGGAAGTCGGCACACTATCCGAAAGGGTCCTAAGCACTCGCGTTGTCGAGTGCAGGGTTTCTCTGCCACAAATCATTATAATGATCTGGGAAAGCATCGCTCATACCAGCACCTAGGACTTGTTTTGGGTATATGTACTGGTATCCCGCCAGGATTGCCTGCTTGAAGGGGGTATGGGCCGAGAATTTCAGAAACAGGGACCCTAAACTGCATGAAACCCTAAACCCTAAAAGCCCTAACCAGAAATCGTGTGAAGCCTCGAGAATCGAGCGCAAGCTAACGGCTGCGTTGATAGGCCGCTGCCTTTCATTATTTAGCAAGATAGGGTTAAGGGTTTATGGTTTATGGGTTTAGGGTTTATGGGTTTAGGGTTTAGGGTTTTCATGAAGATAGTTCACATGTTTCAGAGCCAGAACCGAATGCAAGATCCAACGGCCGAGGCACGCAAGGCCAAGCCCGCTTGCAATTCCCATAAAGACATCCCAGCAATCCCAAATCGCAAGCCCGAGAGTCTTAAACCAGACATGATCACGTATTGATGTCAAATGGATGGTCAACTCCCAACATTCTCGTGGAGGGGTGGCCATAAGGCTTCGATTCGGAGCCAGTATGCGACGTCAGAATCTTAGGTAAACTTCTGCAGCTTCAAGAACGGTTTAGGGTTTAGGGCCCCTTAACCCTAAACCCTAAACCGATTTTCTTTCGGCAAGTCCCCCCAGATGGACTTTCCGACATTACCGGGTCCCTGTCCCAAGGGTCCCTGATGTTCGGAAAGGTTCGCGAAACTGGATCCTGAGCAAACAGGGGGGTTTAGGGTTTAAGGTTTAGGGTGTCACCAGCTGTTTTTTGGGATGGCATGTCTGGTTTGGCCCTGCATCTAACATAGGGCTCTGAATAACTGCCTCTACTGTTTGAGGGGCTCCTTACTATAATTTCTACACTATATCATACCCCAGAAACCCTATTCGGGGCTGCTTGAGGAAGTGGAGGGTTTCCGGGTTTTTTTGATGCTCCTTCGCTTTAGGCAGAAAGGCTCAGACTCAGATTTTCCGCGAACAGCGAGTCGGCAAAGACGATCACTGAATGGCAAACTTTAGGGCTTTTAGGGTTTAGGGTAAGTCTGCACGATTATAGAGAGCGTGCCGACACGATGTGTGCGAAGTTGGGTGGCTGTTTCCTCTGCGTAAGTATGCTCAGAACATGATCCGCATATGAACTTTCATCCCTGGCAACATGGGGCCTGTTTCCGTAGCCTTCCCCCGAAGGACTCGGGCAGTGTCTGCTGTTGCTTGCCTGGGCGCACTGGGCACTTTGCCTTCAGCAGCGAGGGGCTTTGTGACTTATTCATGTGATCCCGGGTGGAGCTGTTTCACCAGCTCAGAAGAAGAGGAAGGCTGTTTCAAAGGCAGGCTGGCAAGCTCATGTTGCAAAGCCTCGCAGCTCATAAGGCGCATGAAGGGGGTGGACGTGGACGGAGATCAAATCGCTGACCCGGCTGACCTGCGAGATCTCTGCCTGCAGTTGCTACAGTTCCCCAAGGCTTCTGATGAGGTGGAGGCGCAGCTGACAAACTGCTCCAAACGCTTCATTGGAAAGGCCATGCTGTCGGGGGTCGTGCTTGCCAGCGCAGAACTTGGCGAAAACCGATCATGCTCACGAGCCGGGCTGCAAGCCAGAGTTCCACTGCTCTCCACCGCTTTTGGGAAGTTGCAACTGGATCGATGGCATTCTGCCTACTTCAAGAACTTCCAGGCACCCGTCGGTTCGACATTGGAGTCTCTTGCGCACCACACGCTTCTCTGCAGAGGCCTTGGGAACCCTAAACCTAAACCCCAAGCCCCAAACCCTAAAAACCCTAAACCCCAAACTCTAAAACCCTATAAAACCCTAAAAACTCTAAACCCCAAACTCTAAAGCCCCATAGATCCTAAAAACCCTAAACCCCAAACTCTAAAACCCCATAAACCCTCACGCTTCTCTGCAGAGGCCTTGGGCACGTCTGTGCGGCTTTCAATCCCCGGGAGCCGAACGTCTGCTTCCCACACCATCCTCTCGTCGAACAGTGGTCACCTTCTTGCGCAGATGCAGGTGGGAGTTTCCGACAATTAGGGGGTTACCTTATTTTGGGGTTTAGGGTTTAGGGTTTAGGGTTTGGGAGTTTCCGACAATTAGGAGGTTACCTTATTTTGGGGTCCTTTTTATAAGGATCCTACTATTTAGGGTTTAGGGTTTAGGGTACCTCATAGGAACCTAAATATATAACTGGTTAAGCCAAAAAAGGAAGTACAATGGAGACTATAGGTATAGGGTTACCTTATTTTGGGGTCCTTTTTATAAGGATCCTACTATTTAGGGTACTATATGCGGGTCCCCTATTTTCGGAAACGCCCAGGTATGTTCAAGATCTACCCGAATCCGGCACAGAGAGGGAAGTTGAAGATCCTCAAGATCTCGCAGAATCGGAGCACGGAGAGGTCGGGGCGCATTGTAGAAGACTGGCTGGGTGTTCTCCATGAGGTCTGGGAAAAGCCGTATTATGACTGCCTGCAGCAAGCTGAGCTGACACGCCTGCTGGAGCGCGATGGGAGGCTACCTTGGGGACCCCTCCCAGGCGAGGATTACTTTGAAACCATCTCCCTGCTTGAGGCGGTCCATGCAGCCAGAGATGAGTTCGTGGTGGTTGAGGCAGGTGCATTCAGGGGCTTCTGGGCTCTTAAGGCGGTAAAAGCCTATAGGAAAAAATCTCCAGAGGCAGGTTCTTGCCACATGGTTCTGATCGAGCCCGATCTCTCCATGACGTCTACCATCCAGGGTCTGCTACGCAATGATATGTACAGTTTATGCAATGTCTCCACATACCGGGCTTTTGCTACTGCATCTTTGCTTGATTCCCTCCTGCGGGCTTTTGGGAAGATCAACCTCGTGCACGTAGACATCCAAGGATCTGAACTTGAGCTGCTGCAGCAAAGCCAGCTGTTGAGGAATATCCAACACCTGCACATTGGAACGCACACGGGTCTCATCCACCGTCACTCCAGATCTTGGCTGGTGAGCCATGGCTTCACTGTTGATTTCGACTATGCCCCACGTAGCTTTGTTTCCACACCGTACGGTCCAGTTGTGTTTGATGACGGCGTTTTGGCAGCGCGGCAAAGGGATCGCCCTCACATGAACATGAGGTTCTTCTAAACTATAGTTCTCCCTTCTGCCGGGTTAAGGGTCTGCGGTTTAGGGGGCTGTACTCTCGTAGACTCCTCTCAAAGTTAAAGTATGTGCCTGAGACTATTCAGAAGTGTGTCTAATCTTCAGAGGCGCAGGCCGCAAACCCTAAACCTTAAAACCCAACGAACTCTCAATCAAAACATCCGAAACCCACCACCTAACCCTAAACCCTAAACCCTAAACCCTAAACCCTTAACCTGAAGAACTCGAGCTGCAGGCTGGCCTTAACAATGAGGCCGAGGCCTTTGCAGCCCACTGTGAGACGCTGGAGAAGGCCTGGCTCAGTAAGGGTTTAGAGTTTAGGGTTGAGGGTTTAGGGTTTAGGGTTTAGGGTTTAGGCGCCTTTTACAAGTAGGTTCAAGGTTTTGATATGGGAGTTTCCTAAAACAAGGGGTACCTTATTCGGGGTGTCCTTATGATAAGGATCCGACCAATTAGGGTACTCGTACTATATTAGGGTCCCCTATTTTCGGAAACCATATAGAGGCCTGAATATTCATCAACATTATTTGATAGGATTCTTTTTAATTAATCATAGTGCAAATACTTCACAAACCTGTTCTGCAAAGTGGGGTTGAGTGCCATATATCTGGTTCGAGACTTCCATGTTCAAGTCTTGAAGAGCCCTAAACCCTAAACCGCAGTTCTCTGTGTTAGGAGCTGCAAGGGCTACACTGGGTGCTTAGATGCACAGGTCGGTCTGGATGTTGCATGCTGGGATTCCGTAAGCCAGCCACGTATGATGCTTTTGGGGCGCAAGGTGCCGGTTTGGATGCCTGGTTACCAACCCTAAACCCTCAACCGACCAACCCCCGAACCCTAAATCTTCAAAAGGTAAACCCTATAAGCCCTACATTGTCCTAAACCTAATGTAGGGGCCTTAATAATTCGGCTATTTTTGGGCGTTCCTTATTTATACTTATAGTATAATGGGCCCCAAAAGTTTTTAAGGCTCCTATATTCAACCCCATGCATAACCCTCGAAACCCCCGAGCCGAAAGGACTTCAACCCTGAGGTTTAGGGTTTAGGGTTTTAGGGTTTTAGGGTTTAGGGTTTTAGGGTTTAGGGTTTAGGGTTTTAGGGTTTAGGGTTTAGGGAAACCGCCCGAAAAGCTTGTCGAAGCTCACATCCCAGACCTTCCAATATCCCTGAATTGAGGAATGTATGCCCTAGATTATAGCAGGATCCCTCATCGGACTTAAGGTATATGCGTTAACTCAGGGATATACCCTGAGGTCAAAGTAGGATCCCGAATATGACTTAAGGCATATTCCTTGGCTGAGGAATGTTAGAAGGTCTGCGATCTTGTCCGAGGTGCTGCGTGGAAGGGTTACCCGCATGGTGCGCCCGGGGCCCGGAGAGAAAAAGCAGAAAGAAAGAGGGGACAGGGTTTAGAAGCTTAATGGCCCAATCATGGTTTAAGGGCTTAGGGTTCAGGGTTGAAGTTTGCATGGGATCTAGGTTTCATGGTTTGCAAGTTCCAGGGTTTAGGGGCTTGTTCGTTCGGATCGAGGGCTTTAAACATGGAAAAACGTGTATTCAGGGTTAAGGGCTTTTGGAGTGTGGAAACGTGCTCCAGGGTTTCAGGCATTTAGGGTTCAAGGTCTTGGTTTAGGGTTTAGGGTTCAAGGTCGAGGTTTTGGGGTTTCATAGCTCCGGAAAGCTTCTACAGTAACTTTGCCAAGGCCACTGAAAGTTTTCATATGTGGCTCTGCCGGGCTTAATGATCCCGTTTCATAGAGCCAAATTAACCCCTACCTAGAAAGCCTGGTGTGCATTCATTTCCGGCACTTCCGAAAGTGCCGCTTTTGAGGCTTGAAAAGTGCCACAGGACATAAGCACCCATAGTTGCGTGTTTTCGGGTTCTGCAGGATTGAAGCTCAGAAAACAACTTAAGTTGTGACATGGCTCTGAAACTCTGAAAAGAATCCTTTTGGAAGCCCTGCCCCAAAGCTGAAAACATAGCGAACCCTTCGAAAGCCCTTCCTTTCCCGGCGCATCGCATCGGCTGCTGCTGCTGAAGAGGACCGAACAGGGAATCACCAATGGCTGGCGAGTGCTAGGGCATACTTGCGAAGAGTCCGGCTATGAATTTTTCGCCCGGACACTGTTCTACTCATACTACAGACTGCACCAACGAAATCTTCGTCGATTTGCGTTCCAGTCGCAAGTGGGTTTAAGGATGGAATTTGGAGTCGACGATGTGATTCCAAACCGTAAAGAATCTCCCCAATGAAATGCAGCTTCGTCTGCATCTTCCAGCGTGTCTTCTCCTCCTTGAAAGATTGTAAAGCGCATCGTTTGAAGTCTCTGATCACAGCCATGCCCGACGAGATGGCTACAGACCGTTCATTGTCCAGTAGTTGTAAGTCAGCATGGTACAAGGTCCTCATGAAGA